CAGCATACAAGACCTTTGGCAAAAACCTCCGAGGGAAAAAAGAATTTGAAGTAGGTGGGAAAACGCCAAAGACAAGACATAGAGTGGCGTGCTCTATGTGAATGCTTTCCTGTTCCAGAGAATCTGTCGTTTTAATTTTATCAAGGTAGACGTTCTCAGTTATTGAGATTTCTGAAGTTTGGCAGTTTGATAGGATTGTTGACCAAAGGCTCCTCAGTGATAATTCCAGTTATGTGAATTATGTTCCCATCAACAAATGCCTCAGTGACAGAGCTTAACCATTTCAGTTGTCCGTGCTTATCTGTAGCAGATACATTGTAAAACCCTCTTCCTAAACCCAGATAACACCAAATCCTACAGATACTTTGTTTTACTTACTAATAACGTTTGATTTGTAAGTTAGGCACAGTGAAATATTAGCAACAATAAGCAATAATAAAAAGAGCACTTATAGGTATACCCTAATGAAAGTTAGGTAATGTGTTCTCTTGGCATATGTTATTGCCCTGTACCTCACCTATTTTTGTGCTGTGGTTGCCACAGTGGCTGAAACCTCCAGAAAGCTGAAGATGAGAGAGGAGACTACTGAATAGAAGATTACCACCTACAAAAAGCCAGGTTTTTTGGTTTGCTTTTTTTTGTTTATTTTTTTTAGAGATTTTTGTTACAAGGCATGTGCACTTTCCAGAGAGACAGAAAGCAAGAAATCACACCCCAGAGGGGATGGCCATGATGCAGTCCCTTCTCCATTCTCCTCTCAGGATTTTGGACACGCACACACATAACACGCCACATGAGTTTCAAGCCGCGGGGCCCGGGACTCGAACCGCGGTCAGTCATGTGGTAGTCCAGTGACATAATCTTTACACCATTTGCTAGTCCAAAATTTAAGTATTTCTTTATCAGGTTTTAGTTAGAGAGTTGAGAATTCTAAACTTTGGGTTTTAAACTTGGCATTTCTAAATTTCTGAGTGTATGCCCCCCCACCCTTTTTTGGGGGGCGGGGGTGGTAAAATACATACAAACCTGACTTTTTTAGGACCAGAAAATGACGTGGAAGCTAAGACAAGTGTATCCCACGTGGCCGACTTTGCAGTTTGAATCCCACCAGGTGCATGTGCAAGTACATGCCCAAACCTGAGAGAATAATGGAGAAGGGATTGCCACATGGCTTTCCCCCCCAGGGGATGATTTCTCACTTTCCTTCTCTCCGTTTCTCTTTCTGGTGCATAACACCCCATAGCAAAAATAAACAAATGTATCATTTTAACTGTAGTTCCGTGTTAGGTATTTTCATACTATATAATCACCACCATTCGTCTCCATTACTCTTTATCTTGTAAAACTTGAACTCTGTACCCATTAAACAATGATTTCCGATTTCCCCTCCTTCAGATCCATCCATGGCAACCACCATACTGTTCTGTCTCCTAAGTATATTTGAATGCTTATAATGGGAAGGAAAGTAGTGCAGTTATTTCTACTGATACTGAGTATTAAAAAGCTTATTGTAAAATCCTATTACCTGTCTAAATGTCAAATTTTTGGAATTTGTTGTCTTCTTTCTCTCTTCATTCCCCAGTATCCCGAGGCTGGATTCCAAACATTATCCTCCGTGAGAAGTGTTAGCAGAAATACTTGGTTTTACCAAGAGATCCCAACAGGAAAGTGCAGGCAAAGCCTTGGTTTTAGAATCGGGCAGACCCCAGTTTTGCACGGCTACTTACCCATGTGTTAGCTTTGTGTCTGAAGCAAGTACCTTTACCTTTCTGGGCCTCATTTTACTGCATGTGAGATAAACCCACTACTGTCGGGCTGTTGGTAGTGTATATTAAGTGAGATGTGTCTCAAGTACATAGCACAATAACCAGTACATAGAAATGCTTAATAGGAGGCAGCAGGTGGCGTGAAGGTTAAGACACTAGGTCCCACGTGATTTGGCTGGCTTCGTGATTTGTGTCTTGGACCCAGACCCTGACCTGGTGGTTTGAGAATCATGCTGGGCACAAGTGATCCGGATAGGAAAGGAGAAGGGACTGTGGTATTGCCATCCTTCCTGGAGGGTGATTTCTTGCTTTCTTTCTGGTGAACACACACACCCTATAACAAAAACTTAAAAAGAAAATGGAGACCGGCAGTTGGCATAATGGTTATTTCGCTGGACTACCACGTAGTTGACTGGTTCGAGTCTCGGACCTGGCAATTTAAAACTTTACACTGGGTGCTTGTGAGTGCATGCCCAAGATTCCAAGAGGAGAATGGAGGAGAAAGGATTGTGGCATGGTCATTCCCCCTTGGGAGTTGATTTCTTGCTCTCTGTCTCTCTCCATCTCTCTGGCGAGTGTACTCACCCTATAGCAAAAATTTCTCTTTAAAAATAAAATAAAGAAAGGAAGAAAATGCTTACTAACTGGAAGCTCTTGGTTTGTAATTTTTTAATGGTTTAAAAAACCCTCTACAGGGGCCAGCAGGTGTTATGGTGGTTGAGGGCACTGGACTCGCACATGATGTACCACAATTTGAGTGCTGGACCTGGCAGCTTAAAAATCATGCTGGTGGGAGGATGGTGGAGGAGGTGTGATGGTTAAGGGTGCTGGACTTCCACATGGCCAACCACGGTTTGAGTCCTGGACCTGGTGGCTTGCTTTCTCACTTTCTCTCTCTCT